CAGTAAGTGTGTGTACCTTGGCTCCCACCTGTCCACCACCGCGGACATCGATGAAGAGATTTAGCATTGGATCAGATGTGCATCTCAAGCCTTTGGCAGACTCTATACCCGTGTCTTCAGTTGTAGGGAGCTGAAATTATCTACAAACTTGCACGTATATCAAGCAGTGGTCCTCCCCACCCTGCTATATGGCAGTGAGACATGGGTCACATACAGGAGGCACCTCAAGGCACGATAACTTTCACCAATGTAGTCTACGATCCATCCTCCGAGTTCGCTGGGAACACAAGAGAACAAATGCCAAATACTCGCTGACACCAACTGTAGGAGCATCAGGGCGAAATTATCCATGAACAACTATGCTGGACTGGCCATGTTACCCGCATGGACAACTGTAGACTGCCAAAAGCAGCTACTTTACAGTCACCTAACGAATAGTAAACGTAACGCTGGCGGGCAAGCTGAAAGGTATAAGGATAGTCTTAAGACAAACCTGAAAAGTGCAAATCGACCCCCTCACCTGGAGGACAATCCTCCACACCGTAACGCTTGGAGGCACCACACGAGAAGGTGTCAATACTTTCGAGTTAGCCCGGCTGCTGCCGCCGCCCTCCCGCACTAGATGTAGCCCCACATGTGCAACATCTGTGGACGACCCTGCCGGTCCGTATCGGCCTCTTTAGTCACCTCAGAACTCACCAATGAAGGTGACATCCTTAATAACTCGTATCATAGCTGGATGATCGTCATACTCGAATCTGAGTGACAGCAAAGTAGTAGTATAGTAATTGTGTGTGTGTGTGTGTGTGTGTGTGTGTGTGTGTGTGTGTGTGTGTGTTTTAACTAATGAATGTGATAGAAGGATAATAATAATAATAATAATAATAATAATAATAATTGATTAGCTCCCTGGTGTTAGAACTTGTAACTATCCATCGTCATGACTAACATAAGTAGCATTAAGTAGCTGTAACACAATACCCACGATAATAACATACAACCACCAGTAGTACTCTAGTCAACACACAGATAGTCCTCAAGTAGCAATATGTTATACCCAAGAAACACATAAGTAACATCATCAAATAGTAGTCAAATAGTACTTTCAATAGCACTTCAGTCTTGCAAATAGCACCCAAGTATAGATAAATAGGAGTTCAGATTTTTCAAATTTGCCCAGCTAGTTTATTGTACACTCTCTTGTACCCTATGCAAGACGAAGCACAGAAGCGTTTACAGCAGCCAACAGGGAAGCAGCGACATTCATGCTGACCTTGACTCATGCATTAATGGTCTAACCAAACAACACAGTAAAACGACACACACACACACACACACACACATCCCCCACACACACACACCCGTTTGGCTTCGTTTTACACAGAGTCGATTCCGGTCGTGAGCTCAGAGCGTGACACCGAAGCTCTCAGTGTTTTGTCGGCGTTAGTCTTTTGTTTGTGGCCCCGTGACATCATCCTTGGGGAGGGAGGGAGGTACAGCTCGGGTTGCCTGCAGTGGAGGGAGGAGGAGGAGGAGGAGTTGCTCTGTCATTGTCAAAACTTCAAGAAGGACCTGGTAAAGTCTCTCTCTCTCTCTCTCTCTCTCTCTCTCTCTCTCTCTCTCTCTCTCTCTCTCTCTCTCTCTCTCTCCTCTCACACACACATTACCAGGAACACTGTCAGGTCCTCCTCACTCACACACACACACACAGATTAACCCAGGTTAGGATAGGTTAAGTTACGTTAGGTTGGGTTAAGTTAGGTTGGGTTAGGATTAGGTTGTGTTAAGTTAGGGTTAGGTTAAAATGGGTTGTGTTAGGTTAGGTTGGGTTAAGTTGGGTTGTGTTAAGTTGGGTTGGGTTAGGATAGGTTGTGTTAAGTTGGGTTGGGTTAAGTTGGGTCAGGAAGGTTGTAGCAGTGGGAGTAATAGAAACAACAGTAGCAGTAGCCTCAGCCAGTAGCAGTAGCCTCAGCCAGTAGCAGTAGCCTCAGCCAGTAGCAGTAGCCTCAGCCAGTAGCAGTAGCCTCAGCCAGTAGCAGTAGCCTCAGCCCCCCAGGAGCTGCTTGGTCTAGTTAGCTTCACAACATAAGTGTACCCTCCCTACCTCCTGGGGCCTCCATCCATCACAAACACCAATGTGACCACACCTTAATGATTGGGGCCCAGTCCTAATAGGCCCCAGACCAAAACATTCCCCAGTGATAGTAAAAAACAGACAAGTACAGAATGTCGTAGAAATTTCACTATGTATTTCGTTAATTACAGGTGAACAACGAAAACAAAATCTCAAATATACGCAAAACAATTACCTATTGACTTTTAACGTTAAGTTTATAAACATAGTATAAATATTCTTCATTTTTCGTAAGATATATCATAACAAAACAAAATCTTTATCATCTAATTGTTTTGTTTATTTTATTTTGAGTTGATTGAAAACGTAAGTAGAATTGTTGTTTATTTTCTGTTTTAGTTGAAAAAATAGAATGTTACTTTCACCGTTGAATTTGTTTACACACACACACACACACACACACACACATACACACACACACACACATACACACACACTATACCATCTGGTTACACTCTTGTTGTACGCTTTAAGTTCATTCATTTACATAATCATTCATATATATGTGTTAGTATTGTGGTCACACGGTCCTTAACTCACCCCCCAGCATCACCTTCTGCTGCAACTGCGTCAGGAAGGTTCTCTACAGCTCACAAGTCTACCTTCCTCTCGCTTGACACATACACGGGGTGGGCGTCGTACACGGTGGGCGTCGTGTGTGTGGTGGTGGGCGTCGTGTGTGTGGTGGTGGGTGTCGTGTGTGTGGTGGTAGCGTCGTGTGTGGTGGTGGGCGTCGTGTGTATGGTGGTGGGCGTCGTGTGTGTGGTGGTGGGCGTCGTGTGTGTGGTGGTGGGCGTCGTGTGTGGTGGTGAGCGTCTTGTGTGTGGTGGTGGGCGTCGTGTGTGTGGTGGTGGGGCGTCGTGTGTGTGGTGGTAGGCGTCTGTGTGTGGTGGTGGGCGTCGTGTGTGTGGTGGTGGGCGTCGTGTGTGGTGGTGGGCGTCGTGTGTGTGGTGGTAGGCGTCCTTGTTGATGTTAGACACACGAACTCTCTACCATCTGCTGCCATCCTCCACAGTCACCACCTGCCACACAACAGTCACCACCTGCCACACAACAGTCACACCTGCACAACAGTCACCACCTGCCACACCACAGTCCCACCTGCCACACAACAGTCACCACCTGCCACACCACAGTCACCTGCCACACAACAGTCACCACCGCCACACAGTCACCACCTGCCACACAGTCACCTGCCACACACAACAGTCACCACCTGCCACACACCACAGTCACCACCGCCACACAACAGTCACCTGCCCACACACACAGTCACCACCTGCCACCACAGTCACCACCTGCCCACACCACAGTCACCACCTGCCACACACAGTCACCACCTGCCACACCACAGTCACCACCTGCCACACAACAGTCACCACCTGCCACACACAGCAGTCACCACCTGCACCACAGTCACCACCTGCACACCACAGTCACCACCTGCCACACAGCAGTCACCACCTGCCACACACAACAGTCACCACCTGCCCACACACAACAGTCACCACCTGCCACACCACCATCCCTGCCACACACCACAGTCACCACCTGCCACACAACAGTCACCACCTGCCACACACCACACCACAGTCACCGTGACGCTGGAGTGTGGTGGTGACGTCAGCAGTGGTGGCAGTGGACACTCCAGGGGGGAACGAGAGACACCATCCACCGCCACACCTTCTGTACCATATCTGCTGACTCTCCCTACACACCTGTACCACACCTTTCCTACACACCTGTCCGCCTCTCTCTCTCTCAACCCTATCTCCTGATGCTGGGGGGCCACCTGTCAACACCCAAACAATCCCCATCTCCTCCTCCCCCAGTATGTACAGACCCCCCAGGCTGGCGCCACCCACAGCGGGCGCTAGTGTTTACCTCGCCTCGGCCTTGACTCACACCCCAGGGAGCTGTTGATCCTGCTTCCCGGAACACTGCTGCCACCACCACCACCGCCCCCTGGCCACACTACCCCCTGGTCACTATCACCACCCTCTAGCCACACTGCCACTACCCCTTGGCTACACTATCACCACACCACCACCACCACACCCTGACCACCCCTATCACACCACCACCACCACCACACCCTGACCACCCCTATCCACACCACCACCACACACCCTGACCACCCCTATCCACACCACCACCACCACCCACCACACCCTGACCACCCCCTCTATCCACACCACCACCACACAACCAACATTAATTACTCAACCATACAAAAACCATATATCTACCTATAACAAGACACTATCCTCACTATACCAGGCCAGACCCACACCATTAACAGTCAAATACACCATGCTCTTGTCACTGTTCTCTTGTTTACATTACCAACTCGTCTCAATCACCTACTATCGCCGTACCTGAGACACTTTATAACAGTCAATAACATACTTAAAACTGTAAAACAGCACAAATACTTTATAAGTGTTAAGTGAAGTAAGCTGATATTGGTAACTGTCTCGATCATAATATTCACCGTGTGTTTGGCGGGATGTGAGGGGTCCGCCAGGCACTAGTGATCGCTCGTGGGGGCGTTAACTATATTGTTATGGGTCTTGTGAGGAGTATACTGTATTGTTGTTGTTATTTTTGTTATTATTGTAGTTGTTGTTGTTATTATTGTTGTTGATGCGTGAAGGTAGCGATAAGGTGTTTCATTTTCAGGTGATCCGATTAACTATGGGGGGGTGGAATTGAAGGTAATCTTCAGGTGACCCGATTAACTATCCATTTTCAAGTACAGTACACAACATAATGCACCCAATACAATATAATACAGTACTGTAATATAAAACAGACATGACCTTTCTGAATACAGTAAAAATGACCTGATTTAACCTTGTTTCAG